TTTTTTTTACATTACAATTTCGATTCGGCTTTAACCAATTGTTTTGTTCCTAGATAATGATAAACACATTATTGTTTATTTGTCATTTAAGCCCAAGATACGTGCTACTCATTCCACACAAGTCCAAAGAGTTGGGAATATAGCAATGAGATTTGTCAAGATAATGGCGGAACCTTGGTATCCATGGAAACAGAAGAGGAATACCAGCTTATCAACAAGACGATACAAAGTCTAAATGTATCAAGCAACGAGTGGTATATTGGTTTGAAGAGAATATCAGGAAACTACTGGAAGTGGATTAGTGGAATTGGCATGACCATTGATAAATGGGTAAAAGATGAACCAAGTGGAAATGTAGATTGTGTTAAAATTATAAAACACTATCAAGGATGGGGATTATTCGATGACATAAGCTGTGGAACATTCAGAATGTTTATATGTGAATACAAAAATTGTAAGTATATTCTGAAACTTTAAGAAATCGCTCCGCGCCTTTTCAGTAATGCACTGCTTTTGAGGTTAGTTTAGGCAATTTTTCTTGAAGCTGGTGTCACACGTTAATTTATTGGAAGGCAAGCCACACAAGAAAAATCCATATTTAACATTTAAAATGTTTCCCAGTCTCGTTGCCTCAATTGTTGCGAAAAATAGATCTAGAATCGAGTTTTACTTACTTTTTACAACGATTAAGACGGTTAARACGGTCTCAAAACACTGCCTAGAGCTACGCTACTGATCTCGTGATATTAATCATCACTATTGAAGGTAATCACTATAGAAGGCGGGGTCGTTCTTATAGCAACCCCCATCACACAATACAAATAACAGTAATCCACAGAAACTATATTTGATATATCTTTTAGTAACATCGGAGCTTAAGGAAAAGATCGAGAAGAGAAAAACAGATGTAATCAACCACACTTGCTACGATATGAACGATGATAAAACAAAGCACAATTCATCTGTCGGTCCAACATCAAGTATTGAAGAAACAACTAATACGACTAAAGAAAAAACAACTTCAAGTGAAAACGTGGTGCAACCGACGACTTCTATAACTGCATGTAAGTAGCTAGAACAGTAAATATCGACAGCTAGCTAATAAATTTTAGTTCACTTCGGTTATCCCGTCTTTTGTAAATCCGTAAATCTAGAATCGAGTTTTACTTAAATTTACAACTATTAAGGTTAAAACGGCCTCAAAACACTGCCTAGAACAACTCGTGCGTCATAAGGTAGAAGGTAAAGGCGGGGTTGTTCTTAGCATCCCCCATCACACAATACAAAGAGTAATCCACAGAAACTACATTTGATATATCTTTTAGTAACATTGGAGCTTCAGGAAAAGATTGAGAAGAGAAAAACAGATGTAATCAACCACACTTGCAACGATATGAACGAGAATAAAACAAGGAGACTCAATTCATCTGTCGGTCCAACATCAAGTATTAAAAAAACAACTAATGCGACTAAAGAAAAAACAACTTCAAGTGAAAACGTGGTGCAACCGACGACTTCTATAACCGCAAGTAAGTAGAACAGTTAATATCGACAGCTAGCTGATAACTTTTAGTTCACTTCGGTTACCCCGTCTTTTGTAAACTGTTTAGTAAAGCATAGGTTGAGGCAGTTGACATGAAGATAAGGGTGATCCTGGAGTTAGAGACAGGTTCTTTTTAGTTTGTTTCACCAGGGGACACCAAAAACCAAAAGTATTAGTCCCACTTATCGTCCATTCCTGCGCGTAAATGTCNAACAACTTCAAGTGAAAAAGTGGTGCAACCGACGACTTCTATAACCGCATGTAAGTAGAACAGTTAATATCGACAGCTAGCTAATAACTTTTAGTTCACTTTGGTTACCCCGTCTTTTGTAAACTGTTTAGTAAAGCATAGGTTGAGGCAGTTGACATGAAGATAAGGGTAATCCTGGTGTTAGAGACAGGTTCTTTTTAGTTTGTTTCATCAGGGGACACCAAAAACCAAAAGTATCAGTCCCACTTATCGTCCATTCCTGCGCGTAAAAGTCTTAACAAACTCATATGTGCAAGGAAGGACTGTGGTTACCTAGATGTTTATATAATGCAAAATGTCGGTGTAAAATTTGGAGTAAAATAGACCTAATGATAATGTTAAATAACTATAAATAACTAATAACAATGACTTTTTCCTTTACTCGTGATCAAGATATTTCACATACTTCAACTATTTCCAGTACAACTAAGACTGTCAGGAAAGAACAGTCATTTTGCATCATGTTCGTGGTGATCGCACTCGCTGTTTCACTGGCTGTTTTCATATGTATATTTATCGCAGTATTTTGCTGGTTCAGAAAGAAATCAGGTTAGTTTATAAACCATTCAAGGCTAGTCGTCGTTGAGTCGATTGCATAGAAAAATAGTCGCTATGCAAGCTCGCAAATTTGTATTTAAAATGGTTTTTTTTCCACCCTCAATAAAATGAAACAATAAAATTTTCTTATTTTAAGACAAAAACAAAGACAGATTAAATCATCTAGGTAAGGAAGATGTTGTTTAAAATATGAGCTTGATAGTTCGGCAACTAGTCGCCCTTGCTCGCAGAAGTTATTAGCATCGCCCGCGACTTTTAATTTCTCCTTACACCAGCGATAGTTCCAGGAAATCAGAAAGAGAAAGGAGAAGGTGTAAACTGGTAACGCCTTAGACTATCTGTGCCCCCCTATAGTTTCAAATTATAAAAGAAACTATCCTAAGTTAAGATAAGTTGCGCATCGTTCAACTCCTTGATGACTATCGAGGTGTCGAACGGCGACCGCGTTCGTAGATTTTAATTCCAAATTATAACTTAATCACAAGAGAGTTCTGGACAGGACCAGTGGCAGTGCAACAAATAAAGCCAAGTCATAGTGGAGTAAACATGGTAAAAGCTATTGTCAGTGAACTGTACCCCCGGCATTTTATCAGGGAAATATACATTTGATTTTTCCGATCGAGGTTGCTTACTTAACTTATAAATTTGAATATCAACAAAAGGAATAGGGTAGTCATTCT